TATGTTCCCTTATCAGAGAACCAGCTTACATACATAACATTACACATTTTTATGCTTGTTTTCTCAACATTGCATATTTAACACATTTCAAACACATTTTAATTATTTGAATTATCACTCAGTGAGTCATTTAATCTTGTATTATATGTCTTTGGAAGGCTTTACACAGTATAATGTTTAATGCACAACATGCTGTATTTTCTTCTCTTTTTTTGGATTTTTAAATCAGTATGGTACAAACTAATCAAAAGAATAATCAATTGGTATGTGATAAACAAGTAAGGTCAAAAGTAATCTAAAAGCAATCAAAAAGTACTCACAATACATTATCTATAATATGTAACCTAAAAAAAACAATACACAGTTTTTGTCATGTAATTTGTAATAAATAACATACTATAAATTGTAAGTAATCTATCCAGCACTGATTATGTGCTACTAACAATAATAAAGTCTGATTTAGTAATAGTGGCTATGGTGAGGGTGAATGCACTATGACACAGATCTGAAGACAGCTGATACTCCAGTGAGACTCACCCACACAGACACGTCCAGTGACATCCAGTGTGAGACTCTCTGGACACTGACATTTAAAAGAACCTCTAGTGTTCACACAGTGTCCATTATGACACACACCGGGGAACACCTCACACTCATTCACATCTACACAAGGAGAGAGAGGGGGGGTATTTTAATTAACTAGGTGAAATTAAGTCAAAATCAGATAATCTACAGTTTATGTGTCTCTCACTTTAATATGACACAAAATGTCACCTTCACACGAAGCCCCTCTTGGCCGAGTAAATCCTCGTTGACATACAGGATCTGTGTACATAAATAATCGCTGAAATATTATTTGAGTCTATAACCAAAACACAACATCAAATAAATTGGATATCAAATTTTTAAAATAAATATCAAAATATTTTTTAGCATACAGTATAATAAACTAATAAGGCTGCAATTCAAATATAATAAAAGTTTCATGCAGGGGCTGAATAAAGGTGAAAATAAACGAACTGTGTGCAATCAAGTCCACGATATCGCTGGAAATGAAGTGTCCCCAACTAAGCAAGCCAGAGGCGACAGCGGCAAGGAACCAAAACTCCATCGGTGACAGAATGGAGAAAAAACCTTGGGAGAAACCAGGCTCAGACTTCGCTTCCTTACAAACATCTGAACACAACACCGGCAAGGCATCATGGTGTTTTACTTGGAGCAACTCCACAGTGTCATCTTAACTTGAGGTGCAGTTGGTAGAGGTAGTCGTGATAGCCCATCTGCATTACAGTGGTGTGCACCCTCTCTATACTGGATATTGTAATCATAGGCTGCCAACATCAAAGCCCAGTGCTGCATCTGAGTCGCAATGTAAACTTGTGCCCATACAGATATTGGTAAAAATTTCTGAGTGGCTCTGTTTCAATTCGAGCATAGTTTTGCTCTACTCTGCTCAATGATGAGGCAAAGGCTATTGGTTTTTCTTGCCCATTGTAGCGTTTGGGCCAATCAGACACACAATTATTTGTTATATTCAACAAATAATCCCTAACACTCCTCACTCAACCAACAAGCCATCTATGAGGGTCTATGGACCCTTCCCCCGAAATGAAACTAACACCTCAAAAAGGCAGAACAGGCCTCTGGTTCCATGGCAACCAAAGACAACTCATCTGATAACACTGGTTTTGCATCAGCACCCAATCCAGTTACATATGCAAAATACCATGCTCGAAGACAAAGAGTCGTACATTTTCTCTCCAAATGTTCAAGACACCATTGGCTCTTTGATCCCCCAGAGGTGTGACCTCCACAGAAGTTAAAAGGCCTCACATCAGTGTCACGCCTCTCAGTCTCTTGTCTCTCTCTCTCTCATCTCTCATTCACCTTCCCGTCTTCCAGGACCGGTGCAGTCGTGCCTGGCATGCCTCGACACTTTCCATCTGGGAGGAAACTCTCCCAATCACCACTGAGTCAGAAGAACATCTTTGGAGTTCATCACTCTTCAATCCTCTTTGCCAATATGTTATATCTTCTTGCTTTATATAACATGAATGATAAGCAGAGATGATTGCTGTGTTAACTCACTTTATTTGTTTCCTGGAAACTCTCTCTTCTTTTTCACAACAACACAAGGCCTTAGAATACTGGTGCAGTGGTCTTCCCATAGGACAGGGGTCTGCAACCTTTGCCACCAAAAGAGCCATTTTGGCCCTTCTCCCACCAAATAAAATTTGCCTGGAGCCGCAAAATATATTTGACCTTTAAATGAATAAAACACATTTTGTTGTTTTAATAAAATTGTAAGGTAGTTAAGGTAGTTGCCTAGTTGCACCACTAGGTGTGACTTCTGTTGTATTTGAATGTTCGTAATTTTGTCCCTGTTGTCCCTGGCAAGAGTGTTTGCCTGGCAATGGTAGAGTGGCGTCACGGTGTTGCGCGCTCTGCTTTAGTTAGACTTTCGCTTTAACCTGTGAACTCTTCTTTTGGCTTTTCCCTGAATTGAAATGAATGATTACTTTGTCAAGTTTTGTGTCAACATTAAATCTCGGTTCCTGTTCATTTCACAATAAAGAACCCGTGGTTGATGCCTCATTATTTCCACGGTACTCTAAAAGAATAAAAAAGAAAAGAAAAGCAGAATCCAGAAGAGGCATGAGAAAATAGATCATGGACCAAAGACATCATAGTTATGGGTATAAGTCTTTATCAGCCATGTCAGCCAGTTCAATTTCAAGATCGGGTTGCTTACTCCTGTGAATGCAGACATATTTAGTGTCCAGGGGAGTGACAGGGAAGAATAATGTGCTTTTTTCTTGTGCATTTTGCATTTTGCTGATTGCGCCGTGTAAATACTCACAATTTATGTGATTATGTTCTTCTTTGATCTTTTTCAGGAAGGGAAAATGAGAGAGCGTGACTCTGTATATCTCTGGCGACCACTGTCATCTTGCACTCAAATGCCAAAACATCCTCCAGCATCTGCACGGCTGTCCCTGGAGACTTGTGCTGTCATATCCACCATGAAGTGCAACTTTTCTAACCAATTGGCATCTTCCAGGTCGGATAGGTGAGGCCTTTGCTTTCTAGGAAGGTTTTCACATGTTCCAGACAAGCAACAAACCGTTTCAGCACCTCTCCTCTGGACAGCCACCGGACTTTGTTATGCAGCAAAAGATCAGAATATGTGCTGTCAACTTCATCTAACAGTGAACAGAACTGTCGGGGATTTAACCCTTTTGCCATTATTTTGTTCACTATCTAGATAACAAGGTATCCATCACTTCCATACATTCGGGGGGAAATGTTTGAGCACACAGTGCTTCTTGGTGCAAAATGCAGTGAAATGTACGCAGCTTTCAACCCAGTGATTTCTGAAGTAAAGTCACAAACCCCTTCTGTGCTCCTCTCATGCTTGGTGCACCATCAGTCGCCACGGACACCAGGTGGGTGGTGTTTATTTCTTTGGCTTTCAAACAATTCAGCACAGCCTCACAGATGTCCTCCCCTCGCGTTTGGCCTTTTAGTGGTATCAACTCGATGACTTCTTCCTGCGGCCCATCGGAATTCACATACCTACATAACAGCACTGTCTGCTCGATGTCGCTAACATCACCTGACTCATCACAGGCGATTGAGTATGCTGGAGCTGAATTGATGTCCTTAATTTGCTGGTTGGTGATGTTTGCTGCTATTTTAATGGCCCTGTCCTTGACGGTTTTCGCAGAGAGAGGCACATCTCTAATTATCTGAACAATTTCACGTTTATTTTTGAAGTCAGAGAATAGATGCTCTGATATTTTAATGAATGATTCTTTCATATATTCTCTGTCTTTGAACGCCTTTCCGCGAATCTCCTGAGTTGCCACAAAACTAGCAACTGTTGTTGAGTTTGAAGACTTTATCCACTGGGTGAAGTTATATTTGCTCTGCTCAGCTTTCTGCAGCAGTTCTTAAATGGCTCTCTGTTCATCTCCAGCTGGGTATGTCTCAGCAAATGCTGTGTTTTTTTTTGTTGTTGTTGTTGTTAGCCAATTTCTCACCACATATCAAACATGCCGGCAGGCCAGCATCGTTGGCAGTGAAAGCGAATAAATCTGTCCACGCAGAATTAAACTCGCTGTTTTCAGCCGAGATTTTTCTTTTTTTAGACTTATCCATAGTTAGCTTACGAGAGCAGGGGTCTGGACCGCAATATCAGCTACTCGCACGGGAATTAGACAGGAAGTGTCGCATGTTTGACTGATAAAATATTAAAACTTTATTTTCAGTGTCACATCTGTTACCTCAAATGCCAACAATGTGTAGCAAAGATAAAATAAATATAAAAATATTTTTTTTATTTCCAAGTCATTTTGTCAAGGCTGCAGTGAGCCACAGCAGGGGGGCTGAAGAGCTGCATGCGGCTCCAGAGCCACGGGTTGCCGACCCCTGCCATAGCATCTACGCCAGAATGCATCGTTATGTTCCCTTATCAGAGAACCAGCTTACATACATAACATTACACATTTTTATGCTTGTTTTCTCAACATTGCATATTTAACACATTTCAAACACATTTTAATTATTTGAATTATCACTCAGTGAGTCATTTAATCTTGTATTATATGTCTTTGGAAGGCTTTACACAGTATAATGTTTAATGCACAACATGCTGTATTTTCTTCTCTTTTTTTGGATTTTTAAATCAGTATGGTACAAACTAATCAAAAGAATAATCAATTGGTATGTGATAAACAAGTAAGGTCAAAAGTAATCTAAAAGCAATCAAAAAGTACTCACAATACATTATCTATAATATGTAACCTAAAAAAAAACAATACACAGTTTTTGTCATGTAATTTGTAATAAATAACATACTATAAATTGTAAGTAATCTATCCAGCACTGATTATGTGCTACTAACAATAATAAAGTCTGATTTAGTAATAGTGGCTATGGTGAGGGTGAATGCACTATGACACAGATCTGAAGACAGCTGATACTCCAGTGAGACTCACCCACACAGACACGTCCAGTGACATCCAGTGTGAGACTCTCTGGACACTGACATTTAAAAGAACCTCTAGTGTTCACACAGTGTCCATTATGACACACACCGGGGAACACCTCACACTCATTCACATCTACACAAGGAGAGAGAGGGGGGGTATTTTAATTAACTAGGTGAAATTAAGTCAAAATCAGATAATCTACAGTTTATGTGTCTCTCACTTTAATATGACACAAAATGTCACCTTCACACGAAGCCCCTCTTGGCCGAGTAAATCCTCGTTGACATACAGGATCTGTGTACATAAATAATCGCTGAAATATTATTTGAGTCTATAACCAAAACACAACATCAAATAAATTGGATATCAAATTTTTAAAATAAATATCAAAATATTTTTTAGCATACAGTATAATAAACTAATAAGGCTGCAATTCAAATATAATAAAAGTTTCATGCAGGGGCTGAATAAAGGTGAAAATAAACGAACTGGCTCTTTCTGCATACAGTTTCCTTTAATCAAAATAAGACACACACTACGTCACTTCTAGGAAACAAAACACGATAAACTGAGCAACCACTGAAATGATGAGATCTGACCAAGAACAACTAAGAATGAGGTCTATATATACATAGAGAATCACTAGGGACTAAACGAGGTAATGAACTAGACACAGATGTGACACATGAGGGCAAATAAAAAACTATGGTAATATATTAACAAAGACAGGAAACTGAACCGGGAACAGTGCAAAACTAACAAGAGGCAGCAGGGCAGGATCGATTGCAGGGATTTTAGGCAGAGCATAGGGAGGAGTCTGATGGGAGTTTTTCCCTTTTGGGTTTCCCCCACTATGTTGCTTTCATGTCAGTTCAGGAAGCTCACTGTGACTGCTTCCAATCTGACCGATTAATGTGACTAAATGTGATTAAATGTGTCTATAATTCTGAGGAATTAGATGCACAAAGAGCTAAGGCAAGATAATGGAGGAATTTATATTCGGCTCATATATTCTCTCCAATGTAGTCGAATTATTCGCATGAGGAGAGACTGTGTAAGCGGAGGATACCCCAGTTGAAGAGCTGCTTGCAAGCTATCTCTCCCCTGGCACTGCATCCTCTTTGAAGGCTCCCTCCTTGCCAACAGTTGGCTCTTGAGGAAGCTGAATGCGCTCACTGTGATTAGTAATGGTGAGGGAGATCCCCTCTGGCTTGACTTTTTTCTTGTGGGATGAAAGTCAGGTGTTTGCACCTCACGGTTTGAGCTTTGTGTCTGTTGAACCTTTTCACAAAACAGGCCTGTGTGGCTCTACAAACCAGAAAATGTCCACCACCATGAAAGGAAAAGGGAAAAGGACGTGACGTGTGGCCAAGTATCGTGTTCCATGCTTGGAATTTGTGCTCTGCATTTCATCCATCCAAGTGCACACACACAGCAGTGATTAGTGAACACACACACACACACACACACACACTGTGAACACACACCCGTGGGCAGCCATTTTTTGCTGTGGCGCCCGGGGAGCAGTTGGGGGTTCGGTGATTTGCTCAAGGCTCTCACCTCAGTCGTGGTATTGAGGATGGAAGAGAGCGCTGGTTATTCACTCTAACCAGTTATTCACCCTAACCTAACCCTAACCCTAACCCTATTCGGCAAGGCATGAACGAAGCAAGACAGGCCTGTGTGGCTTTACAAACCATAAAATTTCCACTCAGCAATGCTACCAGCGGCAGCGCACGGTCAGTGCACCTGTCGTTCTTTGGTTGCTACAGTTGCCACAGTGGGCGTCTTTACCAAGGAGAAAGGGAACAATCTTTCTCCTCATTACTTTGATCTGACAATCTGACCTCTTTGGTCCTCTTTAAGTCTGGTACAGAGTTGGGGTCTCAGTCCGCAGCTTACAGGAGATATATCCCTCTCTGGGGGGACGTGAGGGCTGATGGTTACCTCCTTAGGGTTCACACAAGGTGAACAGAGTTGAGTAGGGCAGTATAGATTCCCTCTACTTCATTTCCCTTCATCCCCAACAACTGCTGGGTTTTGAAGTAGGGATGTTTGCTCCCCTTTGGATGGGTGCTCTACTATAGCCCTGGTTCAACAATGCTAATAAGTAGAGGAAGTTTGCCTGCAAGATCACCCCTCCTAAAAGAAAATGACAAAAAATGCCTTGGCTCAAGACAGGGTATGAGATGCTCTCCCCCAACTACACTGGGGTCTTTAAGTAGGGCCTATGCTCCCCTGCAGCTTCCTAAAGATTTAGGCTACATGTCCACCAAAGCTGAAAATAAAACAAAAACGCGGTGCTCTCAAGCGCTCATAGCTGGGCATTTTCAGCAGAGCGCCTGGAGTTTGCAGCTGGCTAAAAACGCCCTACTGTGAGTGCTTGAGAGTGCAGTTTTTATACCGCTTTGACATGGTTCACATGGGCTTCCCCAGGCCGCTCCCAGCGTCGCACAGCACTGAGACCTCAGTGTAGCTCCGTTAATGTTCACTTCACAGCGGCCATCCTGAAGGGTTACCCAGCACGAGCCCTTTAGACTGTCTGTTGGGAAAAAAAAAACTCCATGAGCTTGTTTTAAAAATATTTTCCAGCATAAGTGTGAATCATGAAGTTAAAATAAACATAATTTACCAATACATAAAAGTTCAGTGGAGTCCAGTTCACTTCCTAGTGGGCACTCACAGGAGAAAGAGCCTGCATTGTTCTTACAGACTCCATTAACACACGGGCTGCTCACACACTCATTCACATCTGGAGAACAGAGCACTGAACAGTCATATGATCTGACTGCCTTGAGAACTGATTAAATATAAAGATATGTACGCTACAGTTCAAACATTTGGAATCATTAGGATTTTTCATATTTTTGTAAGAAGTCTCTTCTGCGCATCAAGGCAGCATTCATTTGATCTAAAACACAGTAAAAACAATAATATTGTCAGATATTATTACAATTTCAAATAGCTGAATATTTTGTAAAATGTAATTTACTCCTGTGATCAAAGCTGGGATTTTTTAAGAAATTAAAACTTTTCAGCAAGGATGCACTAAATTTATCAAAACTGACATTTGATCAAAAGTGAAAGACATTTAAAATGTTACAAAAGATTTCTACTACAAATAAAGTTATATTCACCATTCAAACTGCAAAAACTGTTTTCAACATTGATAATAATCAGAAATGTTTCTTGAGCAGCAAATCAGCATATTAGATCATGTGACACTGAAGACTGGAGTAATGATGCTGAAAATTCAGCTTTGATCACAGAAATACATTACAGTCTAACAGATATTCACATAGAACAGTGGTTCCCAAACTGGGGTAAGAGTACCCGCGGGGGCACGCCAGGTGACAGGTGGGGTATGCAAACAAAATGCTGAAATGTACTGTTAGTTTAATTATACCACACCTAACATTCAACAAGGCACGTATTTCTTACAGGCTAAATATAAAGACGTGCCTCCTTTAGTGTGCACAGAGCAAAATTGTAGCCAGGTAGTGCCAGAAAAGGTCAAATTCATGACATCCAATCAAATTACCCCATCTTTTGCAGTTAAAAAATATGTGTCCACTCAAGTGTCATGTGTAAGTGCATGTCTTTACCTACTGCATGTAATTCGAATGCACGTGGGTTGGAACGAAGCAGCAACTGTTTGTAAAATTAAAATGGATAAGTGGCTGCAAACATTTAGGCCTGTAGCCACAGAAAGAAAATCAACTCCCAGCAGCTCGGATGATCCACAGTCCTCTGACTGCACCCCGGGGTCCCTCCAACAGCACTTCAGCTGCAGGTGTTACTCCAACCCCTGCTACTCTTAACACCGATACAGACAGCAATTCATCGGAAGTTACAGCGCCAACTGAGGTTCAGCAATTCATAGAAAGACCATCAAAAAGGCGTAAATATGATGAGAAATACATTTCATATTGTATTATATACATTGGCAGTGAAGAAAATCCCAAACCACAGTGCGTTATATGTGCAAAAGTACTCACTCATAACTGCATGAAGCCAGCATTTTTACACAGACATTTAGAAACAAAGCATGCTACTTTAAAAAAATAAACCCACAAGAGTTTTTCGAAAGGCAACTAAGACAACTCGGGAGTAGTAAGGCCCTTATAACAGCATCAGAAAACCTTACTAGGAATAGTCTGGAAGCATCCTACATGGTGAGCTACAGAGTGGCTAAGATGGGCAAATCACATACTACTGTGGAGAACTTAATTCTTCCTGCTACAGCTGATATTGGAGGTGTTATGCTTGTGGGAAAAAAAATACAGAAGATGCCGTCATCAGACAACACCGTTTCACGTCGCATCGCTGATATGGCAGAAGACGTTTTAAAACAACTATTGCTTCGCATAAATTCCAGCAAATTCTTTTACAAATCAATGAATCAACTGATGTAGCTGGTTTGGCCAGGTATATTTATGATGGTTTAGTTATGGAAGATATGCTTTTTTTCAGACTGTTGGAAGGAGATTTTCCAACTTTTAGATGGCTTTGTAACATCACATGGACTTCAGTGGACAAAATGTGTGGGCATCTGTACTGATAGAGCGAAAGCCATGGCAAGGAAGCAGAGTGGACTGGTAACACGCGAGCATCGACAGAGCTGGCCACCAAAGGAATGCCTGACCGTCTTAAGGAAGTTTTGCAAGATACTCTGAGAATTGTAAACCTTGTTAAAGCAAGGCGTTTGAATTCTCGTTTGTTTTCTGCATTGTGCAATGAAATGGGCAGTGACCACGTCACACTGTTACTCCATACTGATGTGCCATGCCCGTCCAGGGGAAAGGTACTGACATGATTGTTTGAATTGAGGGACGAACTTAAAGCTTTTTTATTGACCATCGCTTTGAATTGTGTAACCGCTTACACGACGAAGAGTGGCTCACTATACTGGCCTATCTGGGTGATGTTTTTCCCATCTGAATGAGCTGAACCTCGGATTGCAGGGAATTTCCACCACTATATTTAATGTGCAGACAAAATTGAGGCCATGATCAGAAAGTTTGCTCTCTGGACTAATTGCATTAACGAGAACAACACAGAAGCCCTTTTGTCATTGCATGATTTTTTTGCTAGCAAACAATCTCAACCGTACTAACAGCGTTAAATGAGACATAATGAAACACCTTGTAGGAGACATCTTGAAGCGCTACCTGCTGAAAGGACCATGTGAAGTAATCCCAGAATTATTCTCAATAGCTACTTAGAAAAGTTTTAGAATTTTATCATATGTTAATGTAAAAAAAATGTTTTTTTATTGTATTTGTTATATTTGTATTTTTTAATTGTTTGCCATGAAAATAGCCTAAGATGCTGACCTA